TCTAAAATCTGACTCTTCGAGGATTTTGAATACTTTTAATATTAGGTAATTTCCTTAAGTAGAAATGCTTCCCTATAAAGTCTGGGGTTTATGTTGATAATGAAAACCCATAGATTATATTGTCATGTCTATGTTTCACATACTATCCTAAAAAAATTCCAGACTAAATATATATATTTTTCATAATCCTGGTAGTCTGACAGTTCCTCCTGACAAGCCATGGAATTTACAGACTTTCCAATTGGCCTTTGCAGACCAGGGAATCACAGAGGTCACAGTTTCATATTTTTATCTTGACTTGTTACTGTGGATTATTTCAGTGGGTGTTATGTGTGCAAGAGGCTTTTAGTAGGAATGTCTAGTTTTGCTTAAATGAGCACATTTAGAGGGCCACACAGCATGAGAGGGGTTGGGGAGGCAAGAGAACAAGAGTTTATTAAACACCTACTATGTGCTGGCACTGTGCTAAGCACTTTACACATATCTCATTTGAACCAGTACAGGGAGTCTGCCTTTGGAGAAGACCATTAAGTAATTACTGGACTAAAGGACACCGAATCCATGAATTTGCTTAGGGTTTGGCGTTCTCTCTCTCTCTTTCTGTCTGTCTGTCTGTCTCTGTCTCTTTTTCTGTCTCATTTCTCTCATCTCTGTCTGTGTTTTCCCCTCTTTCTTCCTGCCTTTACTGGGCAGCACTGAAATCAAGGACATAAGTTAGACTTCCATTGGTACAGCTACAGGCATTACTGACCAGGTACGGGGGCCCTGAGGCAAGAAGGATCCCCAGAAGAACCCTGGAGTCAAGGATAGGGCTTCTAGCAATAGCCCACTTCAACATTTAATACCATGCCTCCATCAGAGAAACCCTTTCCATTGGAGGAACCGACTTAAGTTTAGTTACTGAGTGAATCCACTTAAGTTCAGTTACTTAGACTAGGGAAGGTAATTAGCTTCATATGACCTTGGTAAGTGTAAAAATCCTCTTTTTCTTCTAAGAAATCCTATTTACATTTCAGAGGCACTGCAATTCTTTATTTTTCAGCAAACAAAAGGTCAGCTTGACCTTTCTGACATATATATGTATATATATATATATACATATATATGTATATATATATATATATATATACACACATATACACACACACATTTTTTTTTGCTAGGGATTTCTAGTTATACCATTAATAACAACTGATGTTTTATAGAGCTTTAAGGTTTGCCAAGCACTTAAGTCTATTATCTCATTTGAGCCTCGAAATGACCATGTGAGGTAGGTGTTATTAGCCCTATTTTACAGATAAAGAAACTGAGGCTGAGAGAATTTAAATTACTTGCCCCAGAGTCACAGGATTGGCAAGTGTCTGGGGCTGGATTTTTGAACCCAGGTCTTGCTAAGTCTTAAATTCAGTGCTTGATTTACTTTTATCATTGCCCCCACCCCACCCTTGGCCCCCACTACCATTGATCCCAAACTGTACTGCCAGTTTATTTTGAAAGTGCAAGAAATATTTTGTCACCTCTGCCCCACACCTGACCCTTATTTTGGAAGGGGTATACTTGGCATGTACAAGTCTTCAAATCCTCTTCTCTATTAGCTGCCTTGCACTTTTTTTTTTACAAAGGCAAGCCAGTTCTGGCATTGTAGCTATGAAGGGGCAGGTACATGGTATTGTGTATAGAGTGCTGGCCCTGAAGTCAGAATGATTTGAGTTCAAATCTAATCTCAGACACTTACTAGCTGTGTGACCCTGGGCAATATACTTATTTAACTCTGTTTGTCTCAGTTTCTTCATCTGTAAAATGAGCTGGAGAAGGAAATGGCAAAGCACTCCAGTATCTTTGCCAGAAAACCCAAATGGGGTCACTAAGAGTTGAACACAACTGAAATAACTGAACAAGACAAGCTATGAAGGGAGATTTGGGGACCATGTGGTTTCCTCAGTGGAAATCTCTGCACCCAGTTTTTATATTCTTATGTTCTCATCCACCAAAGTCCCCATCTTCCAATTCACTGGGGCACTGGCAGCTGTGCCAAAGGAGAACAACCTTTTGTAGCTACTACCAAATTGGAAAGACTTTAAGAATGGGCTTGGTGATGGACTCTCACCTGAATAACCAGGCTGAGAAAGGGGAAAGATGCTCACCAGAAGCTGCTCTGTAGCTTATATGATGGACTTTTAGGCCACAGCAATTCTCCAAAGTCATCTACTATTTAGTCCTAAGCAGAGGGATAGGCAGTCCACAAGCATTTATTAAGTCCCTACTATGTGCCTGGCACTGTACAAAGTGATGGAGACAAGGTTGTGACCTGTGTTGTTGGAAGGATTGCTCAGGGAAATTCTGAGATCCTTGTGTTATCAAAGTATTTGATCTAAGGAATTCTTAACCTCTTTTATTTTGTTATTATTTTTTGTTTTGTTTTGGCAGTCTGGTGAAGCCTATGTAGTAACCCTTTTTAGAATAATATTTTTAAATGTATAACATAAAATACATAGGACTGCAAACGAAACCAATGATATTGAAATATTATCACAATGTTTTTTAAAAACCAAGTTCATGGACCCCAGGTTGAGAACTCCTAAACTATTTGTGGGTGGCTAGTTGACAAAGTGCCTGGAGCCAGGAAGACTAATAATCTGAGCTCAACTCTAGCCTCAGATCCTGACCCCTGGCAAGTCACTTAACTCTGTTTGCCTCAGTTCCCTCATCTGTCAAATGATCTGGGAAAGGAAACAGCAAACCACTCCAGTATCTTTGCCATGAAAGCCCCAAGAGGGGTCATGAAGAGTCAAACATGGCTGAAACAACTAAACAACAGCAAACTATTTCTAAAGCTGCATTAATCCAAAATTCCTGTTTTGGTCTTATTTTTGGTAATTTTTCATTTAATTACTTACCTCTGACCTTTGACTAGTATCCCTAAAACTCTTTAGTTCTGTTTTTAAATGACCTATCTTAGTTTTACTATTTCAGGGAAAGAGGACACCCTATGTCATGTCTGCCAATCAAATTTTCTCCTTCTGACTTTTGATTTCAAATACAAGTTTTAAGGAAGAAGTGTGTGTGTGTGTGTGTGTGTGTGTGTGTGTGTGTATGTGTGTGTGTGTGTGTTTTGGGGGAGGGAATGAGGTTGGAATGAGGAAAAATTAATGGAAACCAAATATTGTGATGTCTTTGGAGCTGTTAAATAAAACTGACACCTCCTCTCCAAACTTAGTAAACATGTTTGATTTGTATGCAACATGATCCACCCAAAGGTATAAAATGTGCTTGGTTTAAAAAAAAAAAGGGCTCGCTTTAAGGTTATTGGATCACTACCTGAAGTGCCTTCTTTTAATCTGACAGCCATTCATCGAGCACCTATATGGCAGGCAGGCACTATGCTATACATACAAAGCCAACGTTGCAAAACCCTGTGGGACATAAAGTGCAAGTATTACCCCTTTTTACAGATGAGGAAACTGAGGGTCAGTTCACCACTTCCCCAAGATCATACAGAAAGTGGCAGAGGTCAAGCCTCCATCTTTCCATCCTACCATTCTTCAGCCTGAGTCCACGCCTCTCAGATGTGGTATAACAAACTCCTCTGATCAACATTTAAAACCCTCCGTGGTCTGGATCTAGCCTTAATTTCCAGGCTTGTTATCCATTTTACCCTCCTCACATTGTAAGCGCCAGGCGTACTACCCTTCTCCCACCTCTGGGCCTTAGCACAGTCTGTGTCCTCCATACCTGGAACATTCTCTCTCTTCATTTCCACCCTTAGGATTCCTAGCTTCCTTCAAAGCTTAGTATTTAAAGTATTAATTGATACTTTTAACACTTTAATTAATCTAATAAACCAATTTATTAAGATTATAATTTATTGATAAATTAAGTAATTTTAATACCATTAAAATTAATACTTGATATTAAAAGACCTCCTACACAAGGTCTCTCCTGATCTCCCCAGGGCGTCTTTCTCTCCACTTTACCGACTTTATACATTGTATGTATTTTACACACACATATACAAGGTAGAGAGAGCGTTTGCTGAGGGCATAGAAAACATCTGCAGGACAGCTTCGCTGACGGCAGGCGGTGCTGCGGCTCTACAAGCCGCCCAAGAGCGCCTCCTCAATGCCAACCCGCTTCTACCACCGGCAGGCACTTGAAAACACGTGGCTTTGGGAAGAGCTGGCCGGCCAGCTGTAAATGATGCCTCTCTACCCCCTTCCAGCACGCTGCTGTTCAAGCCAAGGAAGTGGGATTCTCTTGCCCGACCCTGATGCCCTTGGGCAATAAAAACTACATTTAGCTTCACGCATACTTCCATCTTCCCCTCTCCAAACTGGCCTCTCTAACCCTGCCGAAGCCCCCTGCTAATGGTGCTAGAAAAGGGCTCAGTCCACGCTGCACCTGCACTAAGTCCCGCAGAACAAGCGATGAAATGAGAGGCAGCCAACACATGTATTTGCTCCAGCGAAGCACAAAATACCACGCTGCAGGGCAGAGCTCTGAATCTGACACTGCACCTGCAAAAAAAAAAAAGCACGAGCCTCCCTCTACTATCAAGTTCCCGAAGGAGAGCGCCGGGCTGGAGGGTTGTTAGAATATGATTGGCTAGGCCTTGGGTAGCCCCACCTTTTTCAGTCGACTTCTGAATTATGATTGGTTTATGGGTTCCTGCTGGCCACACCTCCACCCCTCACACATACACAAGAGTCACGCGCCTTGCAGTTGGAAACTTGGCGTGGTGAGGGGGCCGGGGTAACAAGATCGCTCCACCCCCTTACCTTGCTATTGGCCCATGGAGCAGACGGTGGCCACGCCTTCATTCCAGCCCCCTAACTGAGAGGGCGGGTGCTCGCTCCTGACTGGTTGGCCTACGTGCTCTTCAAGTTGATGCCAGAGCGCTCCCGCCTCCTCCCCCTCCCCACTCGGGCTAGAGGTCCAGTATTTGGCCCCGGCAGTGTCAGTGTCAGCAAGGGAAGGGGGCAGTGAAGTGTCGGGGGAGGACTCCCGGTGGCAGCCCAGCTGAGGTGCCGGTGCCTGCGCCTCGGGCAGCCAGAGAGAAGGATGAAGCCGCAGCCGGAGCAGCCCCCTTATGATTGGCTGTGGCGGTTGTAAGCCCGAAGTAAAGATGGCGGGCGGGCCGGTGGCCGCCGCACTGCCCACTTGGAAGATGGCGGCGCGCCGCAGCCCCAGTGCCCACGGCCGGGAGGTCCTGCGGGTGGTGGCGGGGCTGCTGCTGCTGCTGAGCTGTTGCTGCGGCGGGGGCAGCTGCGCGGGGGCCGGCGAGGCGGAGGAGACGGTGATAATCGGGTTGAGGCTGGAAGACACGAACGACGTGTCGTTTATGGAAGGGGGGGCGCTGCGGGTGAGCGAGCGGACCCGGGTCAAGTTGCGGGTCTACGGGCAGAACATCAATAACGAGACCTGGTCTCGCATCGCTTTCACTGAGCAGGAGCGGCGGCGGCAGGGCCACGGGGAGAGGGGGGCCGGGGGCCCCCTGCAGCCGGAGCCGGAGAGCGGCCCCCAGCGCTGCGGCATCCGCACCTCGGACATCATCATCCTGCCCCACATCGTCCTCAACCGCCGCACGTCGGGCATCATCGAGATCGAAATCAAGCCTCTGCGCAAGACTGAGAAGAGCAAATCTTACTACCTGTGCACGTCGCTCTCCACCCCGCCCGTGGCAGCCGGCGGCCCCGGCTCGGCGGGCAGCCCCGTGGGGGGCAAAGGCGGCCGTGGCGTGGCGGGGCTCCCTCCCCCTCCGTGGGCAGAGACCACCTGGATCTACCACGATGGCGAGGACACGAAGATGATCGTGGGGGAGGAGAAGAAGTTCTTGTTACCTTTCTGGCTGCAGGTGATCTTCATCTCGCTGCTGCTCTGCCTCTCGGGGATGTTCAGCGGCCTCAACCTGGGACTGATGGCGCTGGACCCCATGGAGCTGCGCATCGTGCAGAACTGCGGCACGGAGAAAGAGAAGAATTACGCCAAGCGCATCGAACCCGTGCGCAGGCAGGGCAATTACCTGCTGTGCTCCCTGCTGCTGGGCAACGTGCTGGTCAACACTACCCTCACCATCCTGCTGGACGACATCGCGGGCTCGGGCCTGGTGGCCGTGGTGGTTTCCACCATTGGCATAGTCATCTTTGGGGAGATAGTGCCTCAGGCCATCTGTTCCCGGCACGGCCTGGCAGTGGGCGCCAACACCATCTTCCTCACCAAGTTTTTCATGATGATGACCTTTCCCGCCTCCTACCCGGTCAGCAAGCTGCTGGACTGCGTCCTGGGCCAGGAGATCGGCACAGTCTACAACCGCGAGAAGCTGCTGGAGATGCTTCGCGTCACCGACCCCTACAACGACCTCGTCAAGGAGGAGCTCAACATAATCCAAGGGGCGCTGGAGCTCCGCACCAAGACAGTGGAGGACGTGATGACTCCGCTGCGGGACTGCTTCATGATCACTGGAGAGGCGATCCTGGATTTTAACACGATGTCAGAGATCATGGAGAGCGGCTACACTCGCATCCCGGTGTTTGAAGGGGAGCGCTCCAACATCGTGGACCTCCTCTTTGTCAAGGACTTGGCGTTCGTTGATCCTGATGACTCCACTCCCTTGAAAACCATCACGAAGTTTTACAATCACCCTTTGCATTTTGTTTTCAATGACACTAAGCTGGACGCCATGCTGGAAGAGTTTAAGAAAGGTGGGCGAATTTGGTACCTCTTGTTGGTTTGCTTCTTCTTTCCTGCCCCTCCCCTCCTTTCCCTTCCTTTCTCCTCCCCTACTCTCCCAAAGGTGGTCAGTTGACTGGAACTCTCCCTCTCTACCTTCGGTCTTATTGCATAGCCGGGAGGGAGGAGGGAGTGGTTTGTAGATGTGAAAGGACTGGCCCGGGCTTCCGAGCTTGTCTTTTAAAATGTACGGGTCTTAAATCCGGTGTTTCACCTCTTAAGGGCAGTCTAAACGAAACAAATGCCTGGAGTTTGGGATCCTGATGATTATAGGTGCTTCTGCTGCCCAGATTTGGTTCTGAATGGGGAGGCAAGATTGAGGCGATTTAGGCGTGCTGCTGATGTTGGCTTGACTTGTAGTTGCAGATTCTCTTGCCTAGTATTTTTAAATAGCTCTTAGGGACTTAGCTCAACCATTTCCCAAACCCTCGTCTTTCCAGAGTTTGGAAAATGCCATTTCTTATGCTCCATTTCATGGTTTGCGTTAAGCCCTTAGGGCAAAACAGGCTGGCTACACGGTACTTGGTTTTTCCTTCTCTGGTCTACCAATGAGGGAAGGGAGAGAGGGAGGTGATCCGAGTACCACAGAAAAATTGAGCCGCCTAGATGTGACCTGCTTCAGTGAGAGAAGAGCTTTTTAGAACCAGGTTAGTTATTAGCATGTGATTTGGGAAGACCAAAGTTAACCTTTCACCAAGGTTATATCTTTGCTTAACTTTCTTGTCAATTTGTTTTCACATTTACAGGAAACAACCAATAGAATTTCCAAAGCCAAATATGGGTTCTGCACAAAGCTTGACCCTTAACCTGCTGCATCCCTTTATTAATAGTTGTTTGTTTAGGTCTTAGTAATTCTGACCTAATAAGTTTTCTTTTTAACCTTGACTACTTGGTACATCCAAGGTTGTTTGTAGAAAAGAGTAGCCTATAAACTAATTTGCTCATTGTATCTTGTGTCCTTTTATCATGCAAGGACATGGTAGCCAGAATCTTTTCTTGTATAGTAGTACAGACTGGGTTTAAAATAAAAATCAGTTAGTTTATCTTCTAATATAGCGCTTTGAAGACAAACTTGTTTGGTTTCTGATGAAAATAATCTAAGGGCATACACGTTACCTTTTCATAGCTGTGTTCTAATAACACTTTTATTTATTCTTGGAAATGTATTTTTGATTTCTGACAGCCTCCTAACTGAAAAAGTCCACCCTAGCATGTGGCTTCATAGTTGTGAGAATCAGAAATATTGACCTACCAGTATATTCTTTAATTCCATTTTCCAGGTTGAACTAATAATAGTAAAATATTGACTATTTGAATAATAATCATGCTTGTTTAAATTTTGTGCTTTCCTTGCAACAGCTCTATGAGATAACTAGTGAATTTTTGCAGAAATCAGGCTTTTATGGGGTATCCTCATAATAGCCTTACTTGTTACCTCCTCTTTAAACTCAACTGCCCTATTCTGTCTGTGGTACCACCATTCTCCCTTTCTCTCCTGTTTATGACCTTGGTGTCACCTTTAACTCTTCCCTCTCCCTTTCCTCTCATATCCAACTTACATTGATTCTACCTCTGCAAAATCCCTCATGTTCTTCCATCTCTTTATCTCCATTGACAACAGTCTAGTACAGGCCTTCATTACCACCCACTTGGTATATTGCAGTAGCCTCCTCACAGGTCTTTTCATCTCCAATCCATTTTTTTTTTTGTAATCCTGCAAGAATAATCCTTCTTATACTTAGTCATGCCACTTTTCTACTCATACATCTTTGATCACTACCTAATATCCACCCAGTAAAATTCTTCAGACTCCTTTGTCTGTCATTCTCTGGAATCATCCCTCTTCTTCATTTATTTCAGTCAAACAGAACTAATCTGTGCTCTCTCTCCCCCACCCCCACATAAACTATTCTGCATTCTCCTGAGTTCTCAATACTCGGAATGCCTTCCTTCCCCCTTTTTCTTAGTTGAATTTTTACCCTCCTTTAAGCTCAACTCAAATACCATTTTCTCCACAGTTTTCGTTGAGCCCTCCTTCCTTGATACCTTTCAGACTTCACTTAGCACTTTGTTTTGCAGCTCTTTAACACACCATGTAATCTTGTGTATTATAGTGTTTTGTTTTCTTAGCCTTCTGCTAGACAGCAAGTTCCACAGAAGCAGTGACCAAGTCTTAACCAAACTACATTCTATCATAGTTTTAGCACACTACGGCATCTACTTGACAAATATTTGTTCACTGAATGAATGAGTGGCCACATGAATACAGCAGAAAGGAATCTAAGATGGTAATTTACCTTGGGCTAAAAAAAAAGATAGATTGACCAATAAATTCTCAGACAGTCTACTTGTCCATAATTACTAATGGGCAGGCAGTCAAGTCAACAAGTCATTCTTTACTGTGGGCCAGGCTCTGTGCTAATTGCTGGGGATACAAAGGCAAAACCAGTCCCTGCCCTCAAGGAGCTCATGTTCTTTTTTTTTTTTTTTGAGGGGGATGAGGCAATCTGGGTTAAGTGACTTGCCCAGGGTCACACAGCTAGGAAGTGTCAAGTGTCTGAGGTCAGATTTGAACTCAGGTTCTCCTGATTCCAAGGCCAGAGCTCTATCCACTGTGCCACCTAGCTGCCCCAAGGAACCCATGTTCTAATGGGGGAAATGACATGCAAGCAACATATGAACAGGGTAAAAAATTCTATTTCTTCTCTCACAACTCCTCAGTTGACTAAAATAATATTTACCTCCTTCTTACCTAACAGTTAGGCACAATGATTTTAACACAGAAAAATTACATGAAGCTGCTCCTAAATACTTTATCATCTTTCCATCGCAAAACAATAAGAATGATGTTACCTTTTATATAGTTCTTTTTTTCACCATTTACTTCAGCTTGGCTAATACTCACTTTGTTCTCTTTGCCTTAGGTACCTCACTCCCACTCAGCTTATAAATCTTGATTCTCTAATCCTGACCCCACTCAAAAACATTTTTTGAGTGATTTTGCGCAAGTTACTGTTTGGTAGTGAATTTCTGGTTGTCATCTATCATTTCCCTGTAGCTTAACTTTGTCATCTTTTCTTGAGAAACTTGCTTCCTAATTATCCGTCTTTATTCAAAGAAAACATTCTGAAATGTATTAGTAGAAATATAATATGTCATATAGAATTAGTATGTGTATGATCAGTGCTAGCCTGAAAACCAGCATGCTGTTCAGGGTTAGTTAAGGAGATGGTACAAAATAATGGTGTAGACTCTAAAGAAAGAAAATGCAAAATGTGATCTGAAAAACCTTCTAGTGAAACTTAGAGTGGTCTCTTGCCATTAGATTTTTATTTATATTTTGGGATTATGAGCTGTTTGAACTTAAACCTTTTAATCAACTTGTAATAAGAAATTGAAGCATTTCAAGCCTGTGGTCACAAATGTTGATTTTAAGTCATAATCCTTGAAGGAAGATGTCTTTAACCATCTACCATTAAATTTAAGAGTTGATTTTTCATCTTGTCTTTCGAATTCTCTTTCCAGGGATGATGAGCTTGGTCTTTTAATGTTTCTCCCTGGTGTATCTTCAGTTTCCTTAGGGATAAATCACAAAGATTTCACTTGATTTTTCCCCCTTTTATTCCGTAGATATTTTGGATGTATTGTAGTAATTGTAATAATATCCCTCCAAGGATTTTTTGTCTTCTGGGGGTTGAGGAGGATAGTGTTGGTATTTGGGGATACACTGGAGAAGGGTGATTTGTCATTAATATTCACAAAAACCAATTTCCCAAATGTAGTTAGATTTTTGTTTTCTTTCCTTTTCCTTCCCTCAAATTCTTAAGCTAAAGAGCTCAACAGTCCAGATCTCTGGGGAAAAGTGACTTTTTTATTTGGGGGTAGGGAATGAGGGTAGTTGGGATTTTGCATTGAAGATTTTGTGTAATAGTGAGTCATCTGCATTATCCTTTAGTGTGGAGGGAATAGAAAAGTTCAGTAATGTGAACAGAAGTGCAAGAATGTTTAGAGGTACTCTTATTATGTGTATATTTATTTTATTTTAAGCATGTGTCACTTGGTGTTCAATTTTTGTTTTTTTCTTGACTGATTTTAGCATGTGTGATCCTAAATCTAAGTCATTCCCTTTCTAGTTCTTACATGAAGAAGCAACAAGAATTTGTCTTGAAACTCTGTTGTGATGTTAATATTGTGTGGCATTAGTGGGTTTGGCGCTTTAATGGCCCAGAGGTTTTTCAGCATCAGTACTGGTCATGAGTTCTTAGTTCCTCATCTGCTATAGTAATAATGTGGGGCACAATTGAATTTTGAACACCAATTTTGTATTTTTTTTTTGTAACCTATACAAAAAATCCATTTCTAATGAGCAATTCTTAATGACCCTGCCCCATGCATCTGGTTTTGTGATAATAGACCTAAAGAAGAAGATGATCTATGTGAATCCCTTTGGTGAGGTTACAGGAAATCGGGAAAACTTGGAGGAAAGCAGTACCAGGTTGAGGGAAGGGAAAACCCAGCTAAAATGGACAAAATTGTAGCTTTAAGTGGAGGGTCTCTGAGATTTGCTTGCCAAAGTCCTTCTTTACAAATAGGTAGAGACAATATACTTCAGATATAACCTCGAGGAAGCTGAAGATTTACCAGGAAGCTGAAGAATTAGTAATCCATTGTCATTTTTATCTCTTAGTTTTGCAACTGTTATATTGTCTCCTAGTGCCCTCTGGATTACAGTACTAGGGCATTAGCTAGGCTCTTGTATTCCTTCCTGGCTTCCTCCTTCTTACCTCTGCTGAGAACAGGTGGGAAAAAATGATTTGGTTCTAATGTTCAGATAACGATGTTCTTCTTTGAGAAAATAGAAACAAATATGTAATGAGTACAGCCTAAGTATACAATTATCTGTTCCTGTATCATAGCAAGTCTTTCCATACTATTGTATTGAGGTTTTAACATTTAATAGCTGTATTTCTTC